TGTCGGTGTTTGCCCCCCCCCCCCCCCAAGGTACCACCTTTCCAAATGGTTTCCTGTTCCTCGTGTCATGTTTTTTTCAGAGAATAAAGTCTCAAGGGACAATTATCTCCATTGCAAAGCCCAGCAGCTAAGCCAGGGGCTGCCCTGCGGAGGGCAAGCCAGGGAGCCTGGGCAGCACGAATTTCCAAGGTTAAATTTCCAGTGGCCTCACGAAGAGGCAAGGAGCCCTCAAGCATCAGGTTCAAGGCAACAGCACGTGGCTCCTGGTGTGGCCGGGCAGGTGAGGGGGATGAAGGCAGGAGGAAGCATGTGCAGGGCCCAGCCCACAGGGAGCCAGCGCCTGGTCTTTTAGGAATTGCTCTTGTGAAGTCAAAAGGGTAAAAAAAAAAAAAAAAAAAAAAACCCAAACAAAAACCTCAATAAAAAAAAGATCACCATTAGTGTTGGCAAATACCCACGCTGGGCAGATGTCCGAGCTGCATAGAGAAGGCTTCATCTCAGCACGGCAGGGGAAGGAGAAGGGGGGACCTAGAGAAAGTGCTTTAATCACCGGGAAGAAAGGAGCTCGGAGAGGAAAGGCAGGAAAGCAATGCAGCAGCGGGGGCTGAGCGGGCAGTGCCGATGAGTGCGGGGCACAGGGCGTGATCCCCCCAGGCTTCTCCTTTCCCAGCCGCTTATAGTACGCAAGTCTCTTCCGTGCCATCCTCAACACTTCTTCTTGAGGACCTCCTGGAGATAGCGGGCGACCTCTGCAGCCGACTCCCAGGGGACGACAGTGGCCTGGAAGGCTCCAGGCTGCTGCTTCTCCATCTCTTGCGTCATGCGGTGCATGGGGTAGCCCTTCCGCGGGAAAGCCACATCGGCGGAAGTCAAAGTCACGGAAGGGCAGAAGTCATTGGCACCATCTCCCACGTAGAAGACCCTCTCGAACTCCACCTCCTCCTGGGCTCTCTCGGCCAGGTACTCCGTCAGGATTTTGCGTTTGCACATGTTGGCCGGGCAGTCAAGGCACTTGTGGCTGTGGTAGGGCCCCAGGGTGAAGTACCCCTTCTTGTCAAAGCTGGACGGGTTGCTGAAGATCTTGCGGAAGAGGGAGTAGAAACCAGCTGCCCTCAGATTGCACTCGATGCCGAACATGTTGGCGTCGGAGATGAGGATGATCTCGAAGAGCTCATGGTTCTTGGAGAGGAACTGGAAGAGGTCCGGCATGCCAGGGGACAGGGGGATGTTCTCGTAGACAGTCTTGAAGTCGCCCATCTTGACTCCCTGGTCCCCCATGTACGCCAGGACGCGCTGCATGTACTCGTTGTAGAAGCCCTCGCGGAAGGTCTGTCGGATGTGCTCCGGAAGCGCCTGCCCCGGCGCTGCTCGGACGATGGAGTCATCGCTGTTCTCGTTGATGATGGTCTCGTCGAAATCGAAGACGAGGAGGTATTTGGGAGGCCGGGGGCTGGCCATACCAACACCCTGTGAGGCGGAAGGGTAACACCCAGCCATTAGTTCAAGGCACGGTGCTTCGGCCCCGGCACAGTGATGGTGGCAACCACAGCAGCAAGAGGCTGCCAGCCCCGCAGAGCAATGCTCCTTGGCTACCTTGCCCACAGGCAGCTTACTAGCCCAGCTGGGCTTGCGGGGGGCTAATCCCCTGCTGACATACCTCAGCCCCGGCCCTAAGGCATTTATCCTGCCTATAAAGAGATCATTTTGTCACCGCTAATCCCGTTCCTGCAGTCATGGCGGTCACTGTGCTGAGCTAGGGCCGCACGCGTCCTCCCAAGGGACGCGGGGAGAGCACGCGCCTCGGGGTGTTTTCATAGAATCATCGAATCGTTTAGGTTGGAAAAGACCTTTAAGATCATCCAGTCCAACCATTAACCTACACTACCAAGTCTACTCTAAGCCAATCAAGGGTAGACTAGACTTGCGCAGGGAGGGTCCTTGGGGGGGAGGGGGTGTCTACTCCCCAACCTGCTCCTGTCCCACCCCTGAGAAGGGGTCTGTGTCCCTGCAGACCCCTCTTGCTGCCAGGACAAGTCTGGCTCTTCCCAACAAAGGAAACCAGTTTGCAGGCTGATTTTTGCTCCATCACCTGGATGCAGTTTCCCTCTGGGTTGGGCTCCGCGGGCTCCTGAGAAGCCTGGGATAACTCAGAGCCGCCTCCTGCCCTGCTCTAAAACCAAAGTAAACCCGCTTTGCCAACACGGTGCGAAGCCGGTGAGCCCCAGCCCGGGCTCCCGGTGCCCACCCCCTCCCCTCGGCCAAAGCCACGACGGCCCCAGCAGCACCCGCTCCCCGCCCGGCAGCTCCTGCGCCACTTGCGGACAGAGGTTTGCCGGATGGGGACCCAAATCCTGCTCCCTGGCCCTGGGAAGAGAGGGGACAGCCCCGCGCAGAGAGGATAAGATGGGTGAGAATGGCACTGACCTTAAACAGGCATGGCAGCCCGACGCCCTCGCAGCCCCTTTTCATTTTAAGACCATCCCTCTGCAGGCAGCACGGTGCTGAAGGCAGCGCTTAGGGCTCGCTGGGCTGCTCTCCTGCCTGCAAACCACAAAGAAGGGGGAGTTTGGTTAACGGCGCGGGTTTTCCGCGGCTGCCACCTTCGGGCACAGCACCAAACGGCATGGCACGGCTGGGCTCCACGTCCTGCAGCGAACTCCCAAGCTCGGGACCTTTTGCACCAGGAGCGGAGGAATTAAGGGGTCTCCGGAGAGTACGGTGAGCGGGCAGAGCCCGTTTAATGCTTCTGATCCCTCTTAATTCCCCCGAGCACCCAGGCTTTGCCGCACATGAAAGCGGCCAGCAGAGCGGCTCGGCAATAAACCCCAGCAACACATGCCCTGTTCCAAAATTGCCCTGATTCTCTTCCAGTATAATTAGTTTAGGGTGTTTCTTGTAATGGAATAATTATCCTGGCATGACACCGAGTGCCCAGGCAGCCCCGGCGAGGAGGTGCCAGTCTGCCGCCCCGGAGCCAAGGCAGAGCCCAGGTTACGTCTCCTGAATTTTGCCGACCTCTTGTGGTCCACAGCGATGAAAGCAGAGCGATGGGAAGCCTCAAAAAAACCAACCTCGCAGCCAAACCCGGCTGGAAACTCGGCCGGCTGCTGGCAGGAGGAATAACACACTGGGACACGGGAAATTTTAACTGGGCACCGGCAGCTGGGCTTAGCTGGGGCTAAGAGGATTTCAATGGTTTTTTTTGTCATCAGCACGACAGCAGGAAGAGTTGTTCAGCTGAAGGTGGTTTGTGGGGGATTTGTCTGGTTTGAAGCTGAGCATCAAACTATTTTGGGCACAAACGCGATTCACGACTCTGCTAAAATAATAAACCACAACTGCAACTCAAAGGTGGCACGCTGCAATGGGAAACGGGCACTCAGAATTAAACCCTGGGTTGAAATCTTGTAAAAGCGACTTTTTGTAAAACCTTCAAACCAAACGCTAGCTATTTCTTTGTAGAAGCATCCATCAAAAGCTGATATTTATTTACAGACAGCATCTGAAGCCAAATAATGCCACAGCCAGCCTGGGAGTGGGATTAGCCACCACGATTTTCAGGTCCAAACCAAGAGAAACAGGAAAAAAAGATTAAACATGAAAATGTAATTGTAATTTTTGTCGTTATATTCTAAAGAGCTGCCAGCGGTGAGAAAATAATTTGGGTCTAAGCCTTAAGGAGACGTTGCGGCACCGATGCAGCGCACAGGGAATAATGCCACAGCCAGCCTGGGAGTGGGATTAGCCACCACGATTTTCAGGTCCAAACCAAGAGAAACAGGAAAAAAAGATTAAACATGAAAATGTAATTGTAATTTTTGTCGTTATATTCTAAAGAGCTGCCAGCGGTGAGAAAATAATTTGGGTCTAAGCCTTAAGGAGACGTTGCGGCACCGATGCAGCGCACAGGGAATGTAAGGGACGACGTGGACACGGGGAGCAAACCCGCCCCTCAAAAAGCTCTTCTGGGCCTCAGATTTTTGCATTTTGCAAACCTGGAAAGGCTAACAGCACGCATCTTGAATTTTGGGCAGACTGGGTCAAACACAGACCTGAACAGCAACCTCTGCGCAATGCAGAGTCCCTTCAGCGCTTTGCAGCTGAGGTTCCCCAAACACCTTCCATCCAGCCACCTCTCCTGAATTAACGTTTTGTTATGCACATAAAAAAACTGACCTACTTGCTGGGGAAAAGCCAGTTTGGGCTCTTTTGGCTTATTTTAGTTTCGCCTCCTTCGAGAGCTGACCAGCGCGAGGTTGGAAGCGGCATCAGCCACCCTGATCTCACGTTAACTTGTCCTCAGAGGAGCTCCCTGGGAGCTCCTGCCTCCCCTCCCCACCTCCCCGGCACCGCTTTGCTCTCCCTGAAGCACTGTGGACGCCAAAAGCCCCAGCAGGGATAAATCCAGCCGCTCCCAAGAGCTGGAAAGCAAAATTGGTTGCTCTGGCAGGCTCCTTGCCCCGGTGTCGCCGGCACTGCCACCGCGGCTGCACAGAGCCGAGCACCCTGACAGCAGCTTCCCCGCCGTGGGGGAGAAGCGAGGCCACCGGACCATTTTCTACGGGATTTCTAAGGAAAATGATAATCCACGAAGTCAGCTCGGACAATTGCTGCCCCCATCTACCGGCGGGAGATTGGAGCATCCCTGCCACACTTCTGCAAGAGCCGCCTTCTGCTCTCAGCCGTCCCCAACGCTGCTACTAATTGTATCAAAATGCGCATTGTTTTTATGCAAAGGAGAAATTAAAATCTAAGCCAGCTTTATTTAATGAATAAAGCTCTGGGATGGGATTTCTCACCACCGGCCTCTGGGGGCTGTTGGGCAAATCGCATCCTTCCCCCACGCGCTGGTTTCCCCTTCCGACACCGAAAAGGGAGATACCAGCGCTAGGAGCGACGCGGTCAGCCAGCGCTGCTCCCCCCCAGCTAAAGGCAAGCAGGCTGAGCTGCGGGGTCTGGCAGCAGCTGCCGCAAACCCTGACTCTGCCCCGCGCAGGAGGGGAGCGGAGATGAGGAAAAAAAATTCTCAGCAAATCTCCCAGCCCTGAATTTCCCTGTTAAATCCAGCCAGGAGCCGGCGGTGCCCGTGGGCACACTGCTTGCGGCGTGGGTTGGAGCTGCCGGCTCCATCCGGAGTAGGGAGAAACGAAATCCCTGCAGGACCGTGCCACCGCTCCTAGCAGAGCTATTTCTGTGCGGAGATGACTCACCCGGCGGCTGCTTCCCGGGAGCACGTCCGTCCACCTTCTGCAAAAAAGGGACTCCCTCCAAACTAAAAGCAAAGCAGCCGCACTTCCTAACATTATGCAAAGCCTGAATATTGAAACAGAAAATAAGACAGATATTTGCTTATTAATTGCGTCAAACATAAAGGGTTAAACAAACTGAATTGGGGATGAGGGTCAAAATACGCCCGGTCAAACGCGGTGAGCTGCTGGGCTCACCTCAAGAATAATTTCCCAGGGTAGTTTATCCCCCAAATCTTGATGTTTTCTCCCCCTCTGGCAATACCCCCAGCCATCCTGGGGGTCTTTCTGCCCCGAAGAGGCCCAGGGAGCAAAGGCTGGGGCCCGGCAATATTCGCCACCCTCCTTATCTCTGCAGATCAGCTCCTGCTGCTCATCCCAGGGGATCTCTGCACCGCCGCGCGACTCCGGGCTTAATCCCGTAACGGGTTCAGCGCAGGACGCGCTGCAGGGAGAGGAGCAGTGCTGCGCTACGCACCCGCCCTCTGCCACAGGATCAGGCCCTGCGTGAGCCCCCGGCGCATCCAAGCGAGCGTGGACGGGGACCAGCGCCTTATTTCGGAGCGGGGAACCGCCGAGGGGCTGGGAACCGCAAAAGCGAGGGGCCACGGGGGCACTTCCCAACTGCAGGTGCAGTTCCCGGGCTGGTTTTAATCCCCCAGCGTACTCTCCTCGTCTGTTTTTAACATTTTTAACCTTAAAAAACCATTTGATGTTTCTGGTGGGTACAGCGTGTTTGGGTTTAACTCAAAGCCCATCCACTCACCTTTGGCGCGTGTTTCCCACCCCTTAGGGCAGTATTAAGGGCAAAACAAGAGGACAGGGTCCTGCTGCCCCAAAAGCAAAGGAGGGGAAACTCTCCCTCTCCGGCACAGACCT